GAATTTAAGTGTATTCCGATGGCTTCTTTCTCCTATATAATTGAGGATTATATTTGGTTTGATAAAAATCTTTACATGACATCTTTAATTGTAAAGAAATGAAGTTAAAAAGGATGGTTTTATACATCCAATTTATGTACTGTCTTTAGGGGGCAGTGCTAACCCACTGATAAATTTCATTTCTGCTAAAGCTGTTGGTAATGGTTGATATAAAATAAAACTAAAATAGCAATGATATTTGTGATACAATTATATACAGCCCTTAATAGTAGTAAAATTTTCTAAATAGTCAAGTGAAAATGATAATTTGAAGTTCATTCATTCAGTAATTCAGTCAGTAAGTATTGTCACATTATGTACAGCACTGTAAGAGATACAGATATGAATAGGGCAGTGTTTTCTTTCAAATGCTTTACTTCACTGGCGTAACTGAGCCACACTTGTGTGTGCGTGCGACCATTCTGTGTGTATATGCTTTCAAGATTAAAAAAAAAATAAAAATAGCATTATTGTTTTTCTGTGCTTATCACTGTCAGCGATTTTAATCGCATGCAGCCCTTTAAAATATTATTACACCTTCTTTTGCTTAGAAGAAAACTGAGTATTAATAAGATTATGTGATTTGTTCAAACTCCAACATCTCAGAAGTGCCAGAGCTAAGACCTAGTGTATGTCTATGTGACTTCAAAGCCAATGCTTTTTACTTCCAGGGCATCTACAGTCCCAAGGTGTATGTGAAATGACAAAATTCACACAATCACTGAAAAAGCTGTAGACATTCAGAAGGGACATTTATGTCTGTGGGAAATCTGGAAAATTTTATGTAAGGGATGAAATCTGCGCTATATTTTGAATCAGTGGGATTTTATGACAATAATAGCTACAGCATGGTAATTAACATTTATTAAAAGCTTATTATGGTGTCAGACACTTTATATTCATTACCTCTTTTAATTATCAGGGAGAAAAACCCTCAGGGAGGTCCTATTCTGTTATTATCCATAGATGAGGCAAGTGAGATGGCCAGTGGTCCTATCTGCTGAAAATCACACAGCTAATAAGTAGAACAGTTGAAACGTGAATTAGCTCTAATTTTAGATCATAAACTCTTAGTCCCTACACTGTGCTGTACAGACATGTGGAAGGCATGAATAAAAGCCAGGAGGATGATGAGGAAAGGGGGGATAATCCCATCTGCTTATGATCTGGGGTGAATGTATTGAAATAGGATAAAAGGCTGAAAATAGCTTGAGTGGAGAAGCCAGCTTAAGGAATTGGTCTATTATTTATGGTGCTAATAAATATGGGAAATAATTGGAGATATAGGAGCAGGGAAGAGACATAAAGTTTTTCTTTGAGAAGGAGAAAGAGATGGAGAAGGTTCACCACATGATTGCTTTAAATAATTGAAGTACTTTTAACAAAATAGAAAAGAACTGAATAACCTATATAATACTGAGAGTTCATGGCCAAGTATATAAAGGTTTGTAGTGCCTTACTGTGTCCACGTTGATGGACCATTAGCTGATCTTGAGTTGGAGAAAGAGACACAGTTCTCAGCATTTTTAAAAATTCGTGTGGACAGCTTGACCACACGTGTAGATTCTCTTGTTAGATTAAGGGTTTGGACTTATCACGATTTTTTCCCCAGGGGTTCTATAGGATTAAAAATCTCTAGGGCAGTGGTTCTCAACCTTCCTACTGCCTCCTAATGTTGCGACCCTTTAATACAGTTCTTCATGTTGTGGTGAAGAACATAAAAACCCTAAAATCATTTTTGTTGCTACTTCATAACTATAATTTTGCTACTGTTATGAATGGTAATGTAAATATCTGATATGCAGGATGTATTTTCATTGTTACAAAGGGGTCGCGACCCACAGGTTGAGAAGCGCTGCTCTAAGGTAATCCCCTTTTGTTTTACTAATCTGAGAAATGTGTTATTTATGAAAGTATTGGTTGCTGTGTACCAAATTACAGAGACGTTCTGCGGCTGTTACAGGTGGCAAAATGTTCTTAGGGGTCTCTCCTATAGCAAAAGCGTACTCACCAAATATAATTTAAACTGTTAATACATCAGCTTGGTTTTTCAGCATGTGAGGGATGTATAGGAAGTATCCAGCAGGTAATGTGAAAAATAGAGACAAACATGGCTGGATGCTTCCCAGACATCCCCCCCATAAACATCTTTTACGGGATCTTGCCCCAACTAGAAGGTCCTGAGACGTGGTGATCCTTGGGGAGTGAGCTCCATAGTCTGGTAGCCTGGGTTAAAATTCTTTTTCTGCCACTTACCAGCTCTGTGGCCTTGGCCTTGTTTTTAAATTTAAATTTTCAGATGTGTTTTATTGTATTTGAGAGCTAATGAGAGTCACAGCAATTATTTGCCATTTTTAATATATTATGGTACAATTCACCTTATTGTAGAGGGGTAGTTATTTGAAATATTTTGCTAGTATAGTAATCATTTTGTTTATTTTTTCATTCAGGTTAATGTAAGGGTAAAAATGATTGGGTTACACTGTTTGTGTTTCTAAGGTGAAGTTCAAGTTGTAGTGGAGGCGGTTGAACCCTTCCTCCAGGGTACACCCCCACCGTGTGTCCGTCAGGGGCGACACACCAATCCCCCTGCCTGTGGCTTTTCTCCATCCTCTGTGTCTTACTTTGTCCTTCTATATTAGGAGGGAAAAAAATACTTAACGCAAAGTGCGAATGTGGGATTAAAATAATTAATGAGCAATGATCCTATGGCACTTCAAGTTCTGTAGCAAGTTCTCAGTAGAACTTCAGCATCATTATTGTGTTTTACAGACAGTAACTGAGAAAAATATTTAATTTCATTCTTTGTTCCTGCAAATTGAAAAGGGGAAAGTTAAGAAGAAGTAAAGGCAGAAAAATGAATTTGTCTAAATAGGAAAAAGAAAGTCTTCTTTCTGTTCTGCTTGTTAAGAGCAGCAATTTTGAGAGGAGAGTATGATTCAAAACCCAATAGATAGAAAATCTTTATTAACCTTGGCAATCATGATCTGTCAGTGTCGTGCTGAACTCTACATCCTGAAGATCTGTGGACAAATTCTCTTTTTATTTATACATCTGTCTCTTTTTAAAAAATAATTCTGTCTGGTGAGCATTCAGCAGGATCTTAGAATATGGAATCCTTACTTCAGTTTCTGTAAAATGTCTTGCATTTATTTATTTATTTTATTTATTTTGAGACAGAGTCTCACTCTGTTGCCTGGAGTAGAGTGTTATGGTGCCATAGCTCACAGCAACCTCAAACTCTTGGGCTCAAGAAGTAGCTGAGACTATAGGTACCTACCATAATGCTAGGCTAGGTTTTTTTGTTTGTTTGTTTGTTTTTTTAGAGATGGGGTCTTTCTGCTCTTTCTCAGGCTGGTCTTGAACTCCTGGGCTCAGGCAGTTTACCCGCCTGGGCCTCCCAGAGTGTTAGGATTACGGGCATGAGCCACCACACCCAGCTCCTTGTTTTATTTCTTTGATCTTCCCATCTCAAATCTTTTTAATTTTTGGAATTCTCATTTGGACCTCTTGTTCGGTCCCATAGTCTTCTTAACTTTTAATCTCTCTTCATCTTTTATTCTATTTGGGGGGAAATTTACTCAGACATATATTTGAACCCTTACTGGATTTTATGCATTTATTTTGTAGCATTCTGTTCTAGTTTCATGGATGCAAATATCTTCTATCTCTCTGCAAAAACTATTAGTAATTTTTTTTTTGCATATTCATTTTGGTCTCTTTTACAGACTTTCTTTAGATATGGGGTTATTATTTAGCTAAATATTAGGAAGTATTTATATAAGCAGAGCTGTTGAAAGGCAGTCTTTACGGTAAAGATTAAGACATGGAACCCACCGTTTTGATGAGTGTCTGTAGGTCTTTGGGGGGGGGGGGATGGAGGTCAATTTTTACAGAGATGTATTCTCGTTGTCTCCCTGGAGGATATAACCTGCCATATTCTCTAAGGCAAATATGGGGAGGCACTAAGTTGGAAATCTTTATTTACTGCTTAGCTATTAATTGCTTTGTATTAGAAAGGCTCTTCTCTGCTTATATCAATTCTTAGAATTCATAATCCATTTGCTTCAGCTTCTTCAAATAGATAAACCTCTAATTTCTTGCCAGTAGTGACGGTTTAGTTTCCTGTCTGGGTGAAAGGAAATGAGTCTAAGGGTCTAATTCCTTCTGAGATTGAGTCTCCATCCTGGATCGGCCCCACTTACACCTTCCCAAATAGCCAATTCTGCCCTTTCCCCCATGAAGCCACGTAGCTTTCCGTGTTCTCGAGTTTGCTGAACCACGTAAGACCTACCCGTATGTTATTCAAATCATTATCCAAAAGCCTTCTCGGTACTGCTCACCTGCTAGTTTCTCTCCTGTCATCCTTATCCTTACATTTTAAACATTTTGACAAATCTTTTACTATCACTTTAGCGGGATTCGGGGGTAACAGTAGCAAAATATGTATGCTCAATATGGAAGTCTCATTATGAGTCATAAAAGCATTATCCTTATTATATGCATGATATAAAACTTTATGAACCTTGCTTGTGGTGACATTGTGAAAGAAATAGGGTTTTCGGCAATTTTGATTTTAATAAAGTATCATCACATTCTTCTGAGGGTAGTTTTCCTTAATTTTATGCACATACCTAAATTCTTATTAAACCTTAAGATTTTTATCATTTGTTGCTATTCAGATCTGTTCCTGAGTCATTACCATGTTCTGTTTTTCATTCTGAACTTCCTAAACTTCACATCTTATGTCGTATGTCTTTCTCGCCTAGTCCTTTCCCTTTTAAACTGAATTATGCACACTTTTGGCTCAGTCCCCTGGCATTGCCCTATGACTGTGACAAGCAGTGAACTGATGTTTGTTTGCTAAGATACACCGCAAGTAATTTATGTCATTTAATTGATGTGAAGATATCTAAATAACACTGATATAATATATTGGCATAATATAAATTTAATTTCAGAGAACTTCATCTACAATAAATTTGTCACCAGGAGAAGTGGAAGAAGAAGATGATGATGAAAATACGTGTGGGCCATCAGGACTCTGGGAAGCACTAACTCCTTGTAATGGCTGTAGGAACCTGGGCTTCCCTATGCTTGCACAGGTAAAGGTTTGCTTTTAATAAGGTAGGAAAACAAAAAAGATAAAAGAAAATGATCATGTTTTTAAAATTAAGTCTCATTCACTTTGTGATTTTTTTTCTTCCATTAAAGTGTCAAGTAAAATGGACTTATGAACTGGCTGTATGTGTTTGTGCTTATGAAAAGATAAAATGTGTGGAATTTTTAGTTTTTTTTGCTGGTTATGATGCGGAAGAGTTGTTTTGTTTATGGGGTTACAATACTTGTGGTCCGGAAGCATATCATTTTAAAGAATGCTATTTTTATTTTATTTTATTTTTTGAGTTTTTTAATTGTTTCAGGTTCATAGAGAGTACAAAGAATTAGGTTACACTGATTGCATTTGTTAGGTAAAGTCCCTGTTATAATTGTGTCCTGCTCCCAAGAGATGTGCTATGCTTTGTAACCCTCCAGCCCTCCCCTTCCTCCCCTCTCCCTGCCCCCTTATTCCTGCCTTGAATTGATTTGAGTTTTTCTCTTATGAGGGTATGTATTAGATCGTCTACTGGCTTCCTATTAGAATTGAGGGCATTGGATTCTTAGCATTCCAACTCTATCTAGGTTAATACAAAAGATGTAAAGTCTCCATCTTTTTTAATGGCTGCACAGTATTCCATGGTATACGTATATCACAGTTTGTTAATCCATTCCTGGGTAGGTAGGCATTTAGTTGGCAAGTGTTTCCACGTTTTGGTGATTGTAAATTGAGCTGCAATCTAAAGTCTAGTAAGAATGCTATTTTAAAAAGTAATTAAAAGTAATCTAAAGATATAGTTACAAGGAAGCATATTCGGGCCCTTTAAAAGCATTGCCAGGGATACCTTTTTCTCAACACAGTGAAACATTGTAGACTAACAGTGAATGTGGACTATTCAACATTTTAGAATACCATCCAAAAATGAAACCAGAACCCCAACATCTCAACTACCAGTTTAAAATCATCTCACTAGTCATTAAATCCACTCTAATTCTGTAGTATCAACCTTCAAATTCCTGTTGTGTGCGATGGGCCATTAACCTTTAGAGGAGGTTCAGAAATGAGCAAAATATTCCCTAGTTAGGCAATTGGAAGCCACAGTGAAAGTCTCTGTGTGCAAGAAGAAAAAGAAATTAACATGAAAGATTATCCTGTGAAAAGGTTAACTATATAGAACGTGGGTAGGAAAAACAGTCTAGGGCGGAAACAAAAAAAAAAAACAAAAAAAAAACACCTCACTGTTAATTGTCCAGAAGCATTCTGTCGCAGAGATATATTTTTTTCTGTTTTGCAAAAAATGAGAACCCATCATGTTTTTCACATGTCTGTATCACAACGTGATCATAGCCACTCAAATTCCAATATTAATTTGTTGTGGAAAGCTAAATAGCCTAATAAGATCAATATATAGGACTTAAAAAAAATCTCTTCATAGGAGTTTTCAGACAGTTTACTCTAAAATTTGTGAAACTGTTGTCAATATACACTGGACTGTGAGTACCACACCGGTAGAGAGATTCAACCTTCTGATGTACAGTATGTAGGGCTAACGCCAGCAATCCTGGCAGATAGTTAGATTTAAGTTAATAGTTGGCTGAATTAGTGAACAAATGGGTACATTCTGGAGTTTCATGTCATTAATTAACATTTTCACATATAGATTTTACTTCAAATCTATAGTGATAAAAGAGAAAGGAAATTAATATACCTGCTTCATTTTATTAATATATATTCATCTGCGTAAGAGTTTACCAGGAATTGAATGTTTTAACCTCTTTTTCCTCTCATAAAATTAATGTCTTTGTAAGATACATTTTTAAAATAGTTACTTTATGTAATAGCTTCCAAAGCAGAATTTTTGGAGCAGAATCAAGTTAGCAGGACTCTAACTGTACCAGCCAGATGATTCTGCTAATCAAAAAGCCAGCAATCATATGATTCTATCTGATTTTCCATCACTCTACTAATATTTTTTCAATTTAATTTTATTATTGGGGTTGGTAGTGTCTTGTTTAGGGTTTAGAAATTTTTAACATTAGATTTTTTTCTAATGTTTGGCTGTTTGTCTTTGAAGTCTGGAATTACGTCAATAAATTTATTAGTTCCTGAGATATTCTAGTCACATTTGCTACAAAATGTTTTCCACTCTGCAGCTTTTATTTTTGTCTTCACATACAAGTATGTCATTTCGTTTCCTAAACTATTGCATTCATAAAAATCCCCAGTCCTATTTTTTTATTTGATTTGTCTCATTTGAAATTCCTTTTAATATAACTCCAGATATGCCCTTTACTGTTTTTTTACTTGTTGATACATCTAGTTTTTCTGTAATTTTCCATTGAGCAATAACTCATACTCCTCTGATCAGATCTCATCCTATAAACCTTGTTTATTTCTGCTTCCCTATTTTTTTCATAAAACCACATGACTCAGTGTTGATATTATGTGTTATTACATTAAAACTATTAGCTGGGTTGCTTCCTTTAGAAAATCTATATTATATATAATTACTATGTTGAGTTTTAAAAGTATGACTGTTGGGATTTTAATTTATATTGTGTTAAGTCTATGAATTTACTTGAGAGGCAGTATGCCTTTTTACTGAATTTAATGTAATATACCAGCAGTAGGACTATTTCATGAATGTTTTTCTTGCTATAAATTCCTAAGAACGTGTGCGAGTGTGTATGTGTGTCTGTGTCTGTGAATATTATTGTTAATACGCTCTTTTTTAGCATTTATGTGTATACATTGCAAAATTATATTGAAAAACTATAAATATTTTTGGAGTAAAAATGCATAAAGATATACGTGTATACAATTTGCAGCCTCTTTGAATTCATCTACTTTTTCAGTTCCTCACCTAGGTTTTCTAGGCATAGGATTTAACTCTTCTTAGTCATCATTCACAAATAGCAATTTTTCAAACTTTTTCTATCATTTATTTTTTTTTAACTTAATAGCTATCTCTTCCACCGTTTAATGAAAAGTCAGAGGATACATGTGGTTTTAGAATTTAGAGAAAACTCTGTTACCCAGTCATGAGATCTAGTGGTTATAAGCATCAAAGGAATATAAGATTTAAAAAGAGGTGGAGTCAGACAAGCGGTATTTACACTGAAGCTTCAGAAAAGAGATACAAAATATTCACTGCATTTAATAACCATTCATTCTCTGCTTATCAAGGGACTTGCAACATGGTAAACCTGTTCCTTGACTACAATGATAAAGTTCGTTCCTATCTACAAAGAATTGACAGTATGATCTTTTTCAAACCTCTTAAGGAATCTCTGGCATCCTGTGAAATGTATTAAAATAAAACTACATACCATATCAGTGTTCATTGTAAAAATATAAAAGATTTTTAAAAAAAACTTTTATGTTTGAAATCACGTGCCCGAAAGTATTTATTTTATGATTAGAGGTAATGTGTCAGTCATGTAACCTCAGCATTTGTAAAGGTAGAACATCAAACCTACAAAACGCTTTTCGTATTTTCAGGTCATTTTTTTCATGTCTGAATTAGATTTGGAGGCCATTGAAAAATCACTAAGCCATAAACACCATGAGGGTCTAATGAAAAACCATTTCCTTACAGAGCGTTTGGGATCAGTGCAATTAGTGTAGTGCTTTGTACATTTTTATATACCTGGACTTGTTGGATTGGAATAAATTACATTTCTCATGTATAACCCTTAATTTAATTGGATCCAGCAAATGTGGGAAGTATTTTTTATATTTAAAGCATAGTGCTAAACTTCAGAAAGATGAATATTGTGGAAAGAACAGACTTAATTAGGGGGCAGGTAACCTATACATTATGGTTTGGGGTTATCAAACTATATCTGTACTCAGATTTTTTATTTGTAAATTTAGAAACTTGATGAATCCTATAGATCTTACAATCCTAAAATTATCTAATCTCCAGTTTTTGTCTAGATCTTTAATTGATCCTATATATTCAGGTTTTAGCTTTTTTTTTTTTTTTTCCCCTGTCTCCAAGAATACTAAAATTGGAAGGAGCAGGCTACCAGATAGGTGCTTTGAAATTTATGCTCATGAATATATTATATGAAATTGTGTTCTTCCATTGTGACTAGATGAAATTTCTAGTCACAGGTATAATCGCAGGTATAATCTCTAATTCTCGAGGTAACCCTTTAAAGGATGGAATAGGTCATCTCCTCAGAGTCATAGTTGGTAACTGGTAGTGCTGTGATTCCAACCTGGAGTTTTAAAAACTTGAAATATCAGGCTACTTTCCTGCCTTCATTGACATTTTCCTGCTTGCCGTTTGTTGCTTTTACCCCTGGTTATACATTTTGGAAGTTTTAGAAGAATTCTCTTTGTCTCTAATGTAAGATCCTCTCTTTGTGAGAGTCATCGACCTTTTATTTTGTCATCTATTCATTTCATCACAAGCATCAAGTTCAGGGGAAGTTAAAGATGGTTCAGAGCCAGCCATTCATAATTTGCCATTCATTTTATTGCTCCCCCCCATTAATCGAGCATACATTATTAGATCACAGAATCTGAGTTGATAGATTGTATTGTGGTGAATTGTATGACCCTCCCCAGGTCCTAAATGACATGCCCACCTCTGTGCCATGTTTAGTACAAGGCTTTGAGGCTATTTTCTAAAGAGTGAATGCTGCTGGGTAGAAACCTTCTGGCTTCCATCTCGTTCACTCACACAGTCTTTGCTTTGCAAGGTTGAGATGAAGAGGTCTTGATACAGACCCTTTGGCTATTTTTGCAATAGTCTTTCTGCTGGTCTCTCTGCTCCTACAGTCACCACACTCGTGCTGCCTTCTGGGGAGAGGCCAGCAGCTCTCACGGTTGTGTTCCAAGTGCCCTTGAAGGAAGGGCACTAGAGCAATGTTAAGACATAGCGGACACCCTCTTTGGCCAGGCAGGCTCCACCTCCTTTTCGGCCTTTGAAGAGTGTTTATGCTGGTGCTGTCTTTCTCTCTTGCAGTGCAGACTTGGTTGTTGTAGTTACTGTGC